GAAATGTATAATTAACGGAAGGGGGGGGCATTTGAGAAGTAATTACTGTTACTATCCCCTCCAGAGAAATGTACACGCCCAATAAAATCACTTTGCTTACAGAATTATCTGTTACCTAACAGAGGGTGAAGAAAGTGTGTATTTCTAAACTGCTGAATGTATGCATTACAAACTAGTTCCTTTCCTGAAATCAGTATGAATTTTATTTTAAAATACATACCTAGTTTATATGTACCTTGGGTGTTCATGGATTGGCTGTAGTAAGCAAAGCAAAGTAATGGTTTTCATGTACATTTTTTTTATTTTGAAGAAGCTCTGAATTCTACACAGTGGTAAACATAGAACATAGAATATAGTTGGAAGGGACATTGGAGGTCTTCTAGTCCAACCGCTTGCTTCAGCAGGAGACCCTTACCATTTCAGATAAATGGTTGTCCAGTCTCTTTGTGAAAGTCTCAGTGATGGAGCACCCACAACTTCTGAAGGCAAGCTATTCCCTTGGTTGAATCTCCCCATTAGAAAATTTCTCCTTAGCTCTAGGTTTCTTCTCTGCTTGGTTAGTTTCCATCCATTGTTTCTCCTCTTACCTTTTGGTGTTTTTGAAAATTGTTTGACTCCTCTCGTTTTTGTCGGAGCCTCTCAAATATTGGAACACTGCTATCATGTTTCCCCTAGTTCTTTTCATTAGACTAGACATACCCAATTCCTGTAACCATTCTTCGTATGTTTTAGCCTGCAGCCCCCTAATCATTCTTGTTGCTCTTCTCTGCACTCTTTCCAGAGTCTCGACATTTTTTTTATATTGGAGCGACCAGAACTGGATACAGAATTCCAAATGTGGTCTTACTAAGGCTTTGTAAAGTGGCACTAACTTCATGTGATCTTGATTCTATCCCTCTGTCAATGCAGCCTAGGATTGCATTGGCAATTTTGGCTGCTGCCATATATTGTTGGCTCATATTTAAGTGATTGTTCACTAGGACTTCAAGATCTCTCTCACAGTTACTGGCATTAAACCAAGTTTCACCTAGTCCAGTGATGGCGAACCTATGACACGTGTGCCAGAGGTGGCACTCAGAGCCCTCTCTGTGGGCATGCGCACTGTCGCCCCAGCCCCGCCTCCCCCCACAGCCCCCTCCTCGCCAGCAGTCCCCTGGAGGAGAGTCACCCCCAGGTGCAGGCCACACGGAGCAGCGCAGCCAAGGACATGGCAGCCGGGCAGCGGGGACAAGACTCCGCCCTCGTGTTCCATTGCATGCAAATGATGCTGCGGGGCACGGAATGGGGCAGGGGGGCGGTGGCGGTTTTGGGGCACTGGGTCTCTAAAAGATCCACCATCACTGACCTAGTCTATACCTATACAGTTGTTTTTTCTTGTCTAAGTGTAAAACCTTACTTTTATCTACATTGAATTTCATTTTGTTAGGTGGGGCCCAATGTTCAAGATCTTTTTGGATCTTGAGTTTGTCTTCTAGGATGTTTATAATTGTAAAAACTATAATGGTAAAAATGCAGAACAGATTTTCCTATGTTGAATTTGTACGTAATTATATGTTTATTTAGCACAGTTGATTCACCTTTTTGCTCATATTTCTCAAGATATTTGATTAGGAATGTGATTCCATGATGAATTTAGCGCAACTCAGTTTTTAGTCATTATGCTAAGTCTCAGTTATATTTCTGTGAGCTCAGCCATTGGCACTTGGAAATCATGGTTTAGAGCTTAGCATTTTATGGGAACCAGGCCACTGTGTTCAACAAACTACAATTATAGCAGTCCAATTAATTATATCCCCCAATTTTTTCAGTTTTATTTTTCTATTTTGGATCCCCATGAGATTGATCTAACTGCACCTAACCTTAGTTTGCATCTCATTAAACCTCATTTGACATTTAGAAAGCATCTGATATTGGCATGATGGTATTTTGGGAAGCGAGGTCTTAATGAAGCCAGGCCAGTGGTGGGATTCAGCTGGTTTGCACCACTTTGGCAGAACCGGTGGCTAATTTTTTGTTGCCCAGGTCCAGAATGGACTTCCAGAAGCAGCATCCACACAGAGAACCGGTTGTTCACATATTTGAATCCCATCACTGAGCCTGGCTGTGTTTTGGAAGGCATAAATTGCTGGAGAAGTTTCTATTGTATTTGCTGATTTAGCCCATCACTTTTATTTTAGTGCTACGGTATCTGCCTACTCATGTCACCCTTGCAATTATAGTCTCAAAAATTAGGGTAACTTTATCCTCAGTAGCTGCTGATTATTTTTTTTTATCACGGTTTTGCTGTTTTGCTGAAGGAATAGTTGAGAATACAAAGAAATCTTGCATCCTATAATTACACTTTCATTGTCTTTCATGGCAGTTTGCCTGTTGTTTTTTTTAAAAAAAGAAAAAAACCTGCATACATTCTTCATTTTCTGTCATTTATTAATTACACTAAAAATTATAATGCCCGTTTTTAAAAGCCGGAAATGGGATAAAATAGCAAAGAATATTTTTCTATTACAGTATGTGGAAGAATGAGCTGTTACTCGTTTATGCCTTTCTGTACCACATTTTGTTTTAGAATGTTGATCAGATAAAAAGACAGGTTTCAGGATTTAAAATCATTTTCTATATCAACCTCAGGAACAGTACCTATGATTATTTGGACTCTATTCAGTCTAATGTAACTATTTTAGAGACTGCAAATATTTCAAACGTGACGCAGATGAAGCTCTTTAAACTTTGTACAAGTGTAGTGCCTTTTGTTCCAATAACACGAGCCTGCAAAAAAGTTGTGGCTCCTTTAAGAGTCATATTATCTTTAATGACTTTACTCTTCATGGATCAGTATATTTTTTACAACTCTTACAAAAATTTACTCACTGGAGAAGAGCCTAATGCTGGGAAAAATTGAGGGCAATAAAAGAAGGGGACGACAGAGAATGAGGTGGCTGGATGGAGTCACTGAAGTAGTAGGCGTGAGCTTAAATGGACTCCAAAAGATGGTAGAGGACAGAAAGGCTTGGAGGAATGTTGTCCATGGGGTTCCGATGGGTCGGACATGACTTCACAACTAACAACAACAAAAAAAAATTGGGGGGGAAAAAACACACATAAGCTTTAAAGAATAGCAGTGGTATGTTGTGTTTTTACTGTGCAAGATTCAAATAATTTCTTCTGAATCATTTTGGAAGCATGCTTAGCCATATTAATTTCATCTTTTAAAAAAAATCCTAAGAAATCTGCATAGGGGCCAAGATTCAAAGCTTGCATCTTGCAGTAACATACCAATACAGGTAATCTTCGACTTACGACCACACTTGAGCCCCAAATTTCTGTTGTTAAGTGAGACATTTTTTAAGTGAATTTTGCCCCATTTTATGACCTTTCTTGCCATAGTTCTTAAGTGAATCACTACAGTTGATAAGGTAGTAACCTGGTTGTTAAGTGAATCTGGCTTCCCCATTGACTTTGCTTGTCAGAAGGTTGCAAAAGGAGATCACATGACCTTGGGACACAGCAACGGTCGTAAGTATGAACCAGTTGCCAAGCATCTGAAATTTGATCACATGATCCTGGGGATGCTGCAAAGTTCATAACTTTGAAGAACAGCCATAAGACACATTTTTCAGTACTGTTGTAACTTTGAAAGGTCACTAAAAGAACTGTTGTAAGTTGAGAGCTACCTGTACAAGCATACAGCCCTTATAACCTGTTTTTTTTTAATGTATTCTCCAACTGCACAAAGATTGTGCAATCTGTTTTAAATTGTAGTTCTCAAACCATAGTGACTGGGTTTACCCAACATGCTAGGCTAAAAGCTAAGCTATGGTATTTGGGCTATGGTTTCTCCTGAAACATAGATTCTTCTTTTAAATTGTTCTAATTTTAAGTATATGCCACCCAGCGTCATTCAACAATCAGGAAGCCTCTGACATTTAGTAATTATAGCAATCTTAGACTTATATACCGCTTCATAGTGCTTTACAGCCCTCTCTAAGGGGTTTATAGAGTCAGCATATTGCCTCCAACAATCTTAATTTACCAACCTCGGAAGGATGGAAGGCTGTCAGTCTTGAGCTGGTCAGGATCAAACTCTAGGCTGTGGGCAGAGTTAGCCTGCAATACTGCATTCTAACCATTGCACCACCACGGCTCTTCATTATGACACAAGAAGAATAAATAAAAGATATCTTTGCTTATCGTAATTTGTGAAATCTGCTACTTAGTTAGTTTTCTCTCCAAGTAAACCAATCCATATTTTGAGTTTTTTACAGTGAATGGCTGGAATGAAGCCCATTTTTGTTATATGAACCTCCATACAATATATCAATTCAGTGTCTCCAATAACATCTGTCTACGAAAGCAGAAATATTTGGAGAAAGAAGCAACAGTCAATTTTAGTGGTCTTTAAATGACTCTCTTGTTGCAAGATTTAATGAAAGTATTCATACAGAAATCGAATAACCAAATATTGCTTCCAAGGTTAGTTTCCCATAAAACTGAATGGAGCATCAATTCAAACCTTGTAGAGGTAATCTTTGACTTATGACCACAGCTGAGCCCAAAATTTTTGTCGCTAAGCCAGACAGTTGTTAAGTGAATTTTGCCCCATTTTACGACCTTTCTTGCCACAGTTGCTAAGTAAACCACTCCAGTGGTTAAGTTAGTTAACAAGGCTATTAAGTCAGTCTGAGTTTCCCATCGACTTTGCTCATCAGAAGGTCGCAAAAGGTGATCACATGACCCTGGGACACTGCAACCGTCATAAATATGAGTTAGCTGCTACATGTCTAAATTTTGACCACGTGACCACAAGGATACTGCAATGGTCATAAGTTTGAAAAACGGTCATGAATCACTTGTTTCAGTGCCATTGTAACTTCGAATGATCAATAATTGAACTGTTATAAGTCAAGGAGTACCTGTATACAGATGACCACCATAACAAGTGATTGGTACTGGATTGCAGAGGAATAGATTATGTGACTAAGGTCGACCTGTTGATATTTCAGATGTACATCACTAGCACAATCAAGACAAAGAGCAGTCGGCTTGCCAAGCCAGTATTGTGTCTGGGGACACTTTGTGCTGCCTTCCTTACAGGGCTCAACCGAGTTTCTGAGTACCGAAACCACTGTTCAGATGTCATTGCAGGCTTCATCTTGGGAAGCGCAGTAGCACTCTTCCTGGTAGGTGAATAACTTTTATTATCATTTTCGTATGGAAAATTCAGTATGCAAACTGGGCCAGCTATCTGTTCATACAAGGCTGAAGGAAACAGAAAAGTCATTTTCAAGATCAATTTGAGGGAGCAGACAGGCTATTTCCTGTTACTTTGAACAGAAATTGATCAGACTTTTTTTTAACAACAGTGGCCAGTCAGTGGTTCTTGGCCTCTGCTATACTTGTGGCAAACTTTGCTTCCCAACATCTCTGGTTTACTTCTTACCACAACATCTGTCCCATGAAATAGCTGCTTCTCTCTCATCTCAGTCACAAGTTTGTGACTAACGTGCTGACTAGGAACTATGTGGTACAATCATGGATTGCTGTAATATAAATCCACTTTGAAAAGTTTTAAGCAGATGATTTTAGAAAGAGTGTTACAGATTCTGAGGGTCAGTAAATACCTTTGGGAGGTGTTGCTCAGTATAAGCCAAAATTATGCAACGCACATGGAATGTTTTTAGAACACAGAAGAGCTTTTAATTCGTTGCAAAGTATGAACAAGATAAAACTGGTAGCTTATGTCCGTCTAAAAGAATGTCATTTCAGTGATAGAAACTAAATCCATCCCACAAAATGCCGGCAAATGTGTTTGCTTCAGGAATCTTCTTTTCTCTTTCCGATCCCCAAGGGCATTTGTGTAGTCCATAATTTCAAGGGAGCACATGGGACACCTTCAAAATCAAAACTGGATGAGCAAAGAGGCGTGCCCTTGATGGCGTTTCCACGAGTGGAAAGTCCTTTGGAGACACTGAGTGCCCAGGTACCATTTAACCTTCTGTTTTGAGCTGTTATCCATTTCTCTTTTTGATTAACTCTTTTTCAATAGTTTAGTTCTTTATATTGCAAATAAAAATGGTAGTTAGTTTTCTCCTATGTTTTTAGCATTTTTTTGGCAGGATAAATAACAGCATTAAAAAAAAGACAACCATGTAGAAGCACCGTTATTTAATTAGGCCAATCCTTCCTTCCTGTATTTTTATATTCTATCATTATCTGTTTCATCAATTCTGGATTAAAGATCATCATTTAACTGGGACAATCTGCTCAATAACAAATATCCCCCCAAATATCTTGGCAATTATATTTGAGCCTCCAAGCTACTTCAGATACTATGTCCTGTACAAGTATTTTTAAAGCAGGATGGGGAACTGTGTTGTAATCCAGTTCCCGTTATCTCCAGCTAACAGGGTAGAACCTCATTAAATATGGTAATTGGAGCTGGAAACTCTTGCATTAAGTGACATGGATGTAATTGAAAAAACACATTACTGTGCTGCTTAGTGACAGCAGTTCTGGCAATCCCAGTTGTCATTGTTAAGCAAGGACTGTATGGGTCGCTAAGCAAAGCAACGTGCTTTGTTGCTGAGCTGCGTCCCGTGATCCCAGAAGCTGCCGCCATTTTCCAAATAGCTGCATGGGATTGTGGATGCTCAGAAAATGGTTGGTGCTTCTGGGATCGCACCTCACAGCCCAACCACAAAGCAGCTTGCTTTACGTCCCTAAGCCAAGCTCCGGAGCTCTTTGAAAGGTAAGTGCGCAAATGGGTGATGCAGGTGAGAAGGAGGGTGTGGGGCTCGGTGGGTTGGAAAGTAGGCCCAAGGCATGTGGAAACAGGGCAGGAAGTTGAGCACAGGCTTCATTGGGGTGGGGGGAGCCATGGGAGGCCTGGGGTAGGGCCTGCACTAAGCATCCCAGGACCTCCCCCCCGGGGACCCTTAATGTGCTCCACTTAACAACCTGCACATTTGTTTAATGACCGCATCGAGAAGACCAGGGATGGGCCGTGAGGCAATCATATGAATGCTTCACTTAACCGCTATCATGACTTCTGACTGTGATGGGCAGTCTTAATTAATTATTTACTTAATTATCCTTGGATACTTAATTGTCCTTGGATTATTTTTTTTTATCCTTATTGCTTCCAACCTAATAGAATGTTGGAATTAAATTAGGGGATCGGATCAACATCTCTTCACCTGTCCACCAACAGGATAACGCTCCAAAAATGAACAAAATGGAATTATGTTTGGTATTTGGAGGGGGGGGAGAGAAAAGAGTTTGAAACAGGAGAAAATTCTCCAAAAAATAAAAAAAAATCCCTCCTCCTTCCTTTTCCTTCCTGGCCAGATGACCTAGGAAAGGGTAGAAGTGTTTTGAACGGGTTAAAAGCAGTTCCAGACACCATACTCTGTGTGCTTTCCCTACCTCATTTTTTATTTGTCCCAAGATCAACCGTTGTGACTACATCACTGCATACTAAAGCATATTCTGTGTCTTCTCTCTTTGTTCTGCAGAATCATTCTGCTTCTATGACCGAAGTAACCTGATCTGGACATCAAGAGAATTTTTTTATTGCCCTCTGCTACAGTACTCCCACAAGAATACACAGTTATACTAATTGTCAAACTGTGATGACCAGTATTATGTTATGTCTAGTTAGGAACTAATGTTTTTGTACATTTTTGTATGAGGAAGTGATATAGCTTGCCCTGGAATTCCCACCCACTTTTTTTCCCCCTTGTTGTCAGCTTTAATATATTTATGCCAGAATTTAATGAAAACAAAAAAGAAACAAGACAAAAAAAATATGAACTCTTTTTTGATTAAAATGTGTTCTGAGGCACTACACCTTTGGGAATTGTTGATGTTTTTGTGATATTTGTACACACAAACTTTTTTGTTTTGTTTTGTTTTATATAAAATAAATTAAATGATAATTATAATACTAATTCATTTTTTTACCTTTTTATTACCAGAGATGATGCTTCCAGTAAGTGAGGAGTTCAGATTCAGTATTGGTAGTGCAATTCTGCAGAATTCATATTCATTTTCTAGAAGTTACTGTACGATTGTCTCTACATTACTGCTGTCTGGCCCTTTAGGTTATCGATAATGAAAAATAGTATTTTGAATGCTGATTCAACATAGCAAGACTAAGAAATTGTCTGTTTGCATACTTTGATTCCTCTCATACAAGTCCCATAATAGTGACTGTGTGAACAGGAAATACCTGGACTTTCTTTCAGGAGTCCCATGTTTTTCTATGGAGCTTGCTCAGGAAATTGCCCCAAGGAGTTATGCTCAAGATGTGTAATCTTCGAGTTGTTGACTTAAGACTAATTTCCTCAGCCCCAAGGTCTTCATTGAATGTGCATAATTCACACTGCTTGCTTAGCAGCTTTTTGTTGTCTCGTAAGAGTCTGCTTCAAGCAAACTTTCTTCATATAAAACAACCAACAAGTCTCTTTTGGCACGATGGAAATGATAGAGGAAGCCTGCGTGTGAATGCACACATCTTGTGCCCTGTCCTTAAGATTATTGCCTTGAACTGCAAGAACAAATGACTGCAGCTTTTAGTTAATGTCAAGAGTCCAGTTTAGCGCTAATAGCTTAGCAGATTGGATCAAAAAGTCATAGTGTTAGTCAAAAGACTGTATCATTAGCCTTTTAGTAGATTTGAGGAACAGAAGAACAAGTTGGGAAATGGGAGAATGAAGTATTATTGCAGTATTATTGCAGTCCCAGGCCAAAGAACAATGGTCTACATTAAGCTGGAGTCCACCTTGGTGTGGTATTTTTAAATTTCTTAAGAACTGTCTCTTCCTAAGAAGCATGAAAATCATGTAGGAAAATTTGTAGCCATAATCATTGAATCATTGACCAGAATTCTACCAAATGAACTTTTTTTTTTCGCTGTAAAGTAGACATATATGTATTGCTTTCTTGTGACATATGCATGCATTTCTAAGATATGATAAGCTTTGGAAGTAGCATTCAACCTTGGAACAAATATGTTCATCTCTTTAGAGCCACTCAAAATCCTGTATTTCATACAGTGCTTCATAGAAGGCTCCAAATTGATCCTGAAAATTTGAAACCATCACTGTGTTTACCAACTGATGTTTTGTAATAGAAAGAGTGTAAATGTTTCATTGCTACATTTGAGCATATTTTGCAACTCAGAAAGATGCCTTAGGGCAGTGATAGCGAACCTATGGCACGGGTGCCAGAGCCCTCTCTGTGGGCAGGCGCGCCGTCGCCCCAGTCCTACAGCTGGGTTTTATAAAACCTTTTCGCTTTAGGCCTCCGCCACCATGTACAAAAAAAAAAGGTTCAATCAATGAGTCAATTTCAACTTCTCGCGGGAAAAAAAAAGATCTTGCAAAGTTGGAATTGATTGGTTGAACTTTTTAGTCCCACCCAGTCTGCCGTTACTACCGCAGCCACACCCACCCAATGGGTTACACCCACCCGGCACCCGACGATGCATAAGTGGGTTTTGGGTTGCAGTTTGGGCACTCGGTCTCTAAAAGGTTCGCCATCACTGCCTTAGGGCAATACATTTGTGATTCAGTTCCACTGGTGCTAATATATTGTAATGCCTTTCGTGTTGACACAAATAGGAAAATCAGCTGCCGACTATGTGTGTCAAATATGAACCATGTGAAAAGCATCTTTGTTGTGCCTCCTCAGAGATGTCCCTCTCCACTCATAAGGAAATGCAAAAGAAATTTAGAACATCGCCTCAAGGAGGAAGACTGGCCAAACCTTTTTTACCTCATCTCTGCTTTTCTTTTTGCCAGCTCCCTGGGAAGATAAGCTGTCAAGGAGTTAAATGAAAACACCAAGGAAAAAGGCAGCCAAAAAGGACTTTGGGTTTCAGCAATTTTCCTTGTTTTCAAGGAGGGACTCTTTTGAAGAGATAGAACTTATAGCATCTGTTAAAATAAAACGCAATGCTTAGAGCAGCTCTTGAATTCCCCCCCCCCCAAAAAAAATGTGGGTGTAACTTTGTCCTAGTAATGCCGGCTTAATTTTCTGAATCAAAAATGTAATTAATTTGTATCCAAAACTGATTTTTCTTTTGCACCGTATTGTTAACAAATCAAAGGAAATGAAAAGGACCAATTTGCTGGTCTCATCCTCTCCCTCTCCCCCAGTCCTAGAAATTTTCTACCGCATCCCATTTTTCTAGCATGATCATAATCAGTAGTGTTTACTTTGAGAAATGGAACTTCTCTCTGTATTTTTTTTTTCTCCTGAAATGCCTGCCATGTTGATTCCTGGGTTTTTGTATATAATTTTTTTTTCCAAAAGAGATAAAAAAAAATTATCACAAAACTGTTTGCCTCAGGGCTTTGTCATTTTCCTTGAGGAGTTGGGAGGGATATATGAGACCTGTCTTGTTTCTCAACTATGTGTCTCAGCTTTTCAGGAATAAACTTCCAATCATAGATTTCCTTTAAAACAGTCATCCTGTTGATACCTCACCGGTACTTCAGAAAGTGCAAGTCATTAAGAATCCTGTTAAGTCAGCCAATAATTCTCAAAATTGTTATCTAATATATTTAGAAAGTGTAGTTCAGAGAAGACTGGAATTATTAATAGCTATAATAATTGTATTTTTCTCTTGCATGTGATACAAAAACATCATTAATTCCAAAGTTCCTTACAAAAGTATTCTGTTGAACCCACAATATACCTAATACAAAATACAATAACCAGTGGTTCTCAAAGTTTTCTTCACCACGGACCCCCTTTAAATACCTTTTGTGGCCATGGACCCACAAGACTTAACACAAGATTTAAATCATAACATTTTCTCAAGCTTTTGCGGCCTCCTTGTGACGACATCACGACCCCCAGGGGTCTGTGGACCACAGGTTGAGAACCACTGCTATATACAACACAGTCAATTGAAGTCACTAACTTGCTAATCTTATTGGGGAAAGATATTAAAATAGCAGCACTGGGTCTTATGAGACAGAGACCAGGCTGAAATTGACAATTGTAGCCATAACCTAATGTTGGACCAAACATGAGCTTACAGAGAACAAAATCAAGAATCTTGTCAAAAAGACACTTTCAGAAAATAGCTAAGAAAGACTCAAATCATGAATAGCCAAACAATATTTTTATTTATTAATTTGCTGCCCATCTTGCCTCAAGGCAACTCTTACGTATGCACCTAATAGAAATGTCATCAGACAAAAAACTAATCCCATTAACAGTTGATTAATTTTACAGATCAATAAAGCAGGAACTTTGGGTGCTAGAAAGGATCTTGTTCATATTAGCTATTTGAGACATTTGGGGTTTGGACTTTGTTGACTTCCTCTAGCTAGTGCCTGGTCAGCCTAGATGAGTAGGATGTGAGTGTGTGAGTGTCTGTAGAAGAGTGAATGAGTGTAAAAGCAACAACATATGGTACTTAAAATCAGTAATGCTTTGTTACGGCTTCAAATTTGAGAGATTCCCAGCATTTGGTTGAAAGTAATTTGTGTCTCCCAAGTCTTTCACCACAGACAACCATGGCTATGCATTCTGCACAGTCTGGCCATACCTCTGTGGATCACTTAGTTTGGGGGGTTGCTACAAAATCCACATTCCACACATGCAGCCTCAACAGGGTGTGTAAGTGAAGCAAGTGGTCATAAGATAAACCTGGATATTTTTTTTAAAGTAACCATTGATCCAACTTGAAAAGAGAAACTCTTTTCTATAGAGTTGATTAGCTGGATGCGCATAACATACTAAACCAGAGGTCCCCAACCCCCGGTCCGTGGCATGCCAGCAACCGGGCCACACAAACAAGCAAAGCCCCATCTGCGGGATGCAGGCAGCATACAAAACCACGCCCCCTCCCCTCCACAGAAAAACTTTTCTCCACGTAACCGGTCCCTGGTGCCTAAGAGGTTGGAGACCTCTGTACTAAACTGTAGACCTGGATTGACAAAGCAAAGCTCATATACCATGCTGTCTTCCCTTCCCCACACACAAATAAAGTATATTGTGGCTTTATGAAATTAACTTCTTCACCTAATATGATAACAATAGCTGGATTTTTATGTGTTGCACCACAAACTATCCAATCCCACTTTAGTCTGTAATTCGCATTTAAGATTGCAAAGATTTATATTGTTTAAGCAATGACCGTTTAAGCAATGGTGTTTGTATCATTTATATGTCATTGTGCAAATAATTCACCATGAACTCACCCTTGATGTTAGTATTTCCAGGCTTATGTCCATGCTGTGTCTAAGGCCTGGTAATCATGTCTAGATATCCAGACTTCTGGTTGCTGCTGCTTAATGCTTGGCCAGCCTGTGATAAAGCTGGCCTCATCCATAACTTCATTTTGGATGAGCAGGTAGATCTTGTTTGCATTATTGAAACTTACCTGGGCATAGATGAGGGTGGGTGAGATGTTCCCCTCTTGGAGATGTGCCCAGCCAGGTTTCCTGCACTACATCACTTATGAACACAGAATCAGGATAGAGATGTGGCAATGATTATCTGAGACACCTTATGGCTTTGCAGATTGCCAAATGTCAGCCCTTGTTTGTGAAGATGAATTATAGCAACAGCAATCGTAGACTTATATACCGCTTCATAGTGCTTTACAGCTCTCTCTAAGGGGTTTACAGATTCGTCCTCAACAATCTGAGTCTTCATTT